TTTCTATTTAGCTTTTTGCTCCTAAATCTTAGAACTAAAATTGAGGTCAGAAAGGTGACGTTTTTAACCTTTGACCTTCATCCGTTCCTGACCTTTGACTCCATCTTGTTGGCGTTCCCTCCTGAACGATTTCCAGACCCTGAACCTTCCTGTTCCTCCTCAGCTTCATCTCCCACCTGCTGCATTCATGTCCTCAGTCAGTGTGGGATTTTTTTATTTCGTCTCTTTGCTGCATCACTTTTGCTCCAAAACCTTTTTTTTTGTTGTGATCCTCCTTTCAGACTGATGGATGTTTTCTAGATGTTTCTATGTTTGCATGCTGCTGAGTTCTTCCTCACAATTTCCTCTTTATTATTTTACTCTTTCAAAGGTTGATTTAAAGATTTAAGAAAGATTTAAAGATTGAATAAACTAAAAGACAAAGATTTCTCTTTATATAAACGAGCTGTGAGACGTTTGCTTCATGTGAAACCAGCAATAAATGAAACCAGTTTCTGTTTTTCTACCCAATGGAGGCTGACTGGAAATTTACTAAAAAAACAAACATAAATGAAAGAGGATATATTTCTGGGCTGCTTACAAACTTTTATATTAAAATAAATCCTCTCAGAATTAAAGATGGTTTTTATTATGAGTTTAATTTTTATACAACTTAATATTTGTATTAATCTAAGCAAATGATTAAATCCATCTCAAGTTTTGAATTTTCAAACATAGAATTTTACTTGTTTTACTCATTTCAATGTTTTTGATATTTTCCTGAATCCAGAAAGCGTAAAATTATTACATTTACTGCAGGTTAAAGTCCTTTAATATTAAAATGTCAATTAAGATTATTTTATTTATCTGAATTGTAAAATAACTGGGATAAAGAAATAATAGGATGGAAATTATCAAAACAGGATTTCATCATTTTTTTTTTTATTGTTACCAGATTCCTGGATTGATTTAAATCCAGGAATCTGGTAACAATAAGAAAAAAAAAAACTCTGGAAAAAAATGTAAAATATTAAACATCATTAAATAATATTTTAACTCATAGACTGAAATAAAAGCACCGCTGTTCTTTTTAATTACAGTGGAAACCAATTAAAGCTACATGCATATAGAAATACTTATTCCAGTATTTCTCTCTCTGAATGTGTATTTCTCTTTTATTGTATTACAGTGTAAGTTATTTATACAAAAATAAATATATCTTTAAATAAATAATACTTAAGATAAATCATTAATGAATAAAATAATTCCTCTTGAGGTAAATAGATTAATCTTGATAAATAAATATATATTGCAATAATTAAATCATATATAATCTAGAAGTAGATAAAGCCAAAATAAATGAGTTTTTATTAAATATGGAATCTTATTATTTGAACATTTGATAACCATCAATAACAGTTTTTTTATTTAGTTTTTAATAAACTGCTTCCATAATTGATGCCTTTAACATTCAGTATAGCTCCTGTCTCACCTTGGCGGTTTAGACCAGCGAATGCCTGAAGTATGAAACATCAGAACGCCGGCATACGTTTGATAAGTTATGTTTTGTTTAAGTTATGAAGACGCTGAAACACGACATACGGCGAGAACGTCCCGATCTATGCCAACGTACGCTTATACTCGAGCTTCTACAGAAACTATGAGTAATGGAAGGCGGCTCACAGGAGGAAACCGTTAGTTCTCCTCCAGACTTCATCCCCATCATAAGGCCTGGTTATCGTCCCTCAGCAGCGTGTTGCAGATATTTTTGATTTCTGCCCAATATTGAAGCGTGGTCTGCGCCGTGTTATTCCACGCCACAACGCCAGAGGGCCAATCAGGAAGTAGCTGTGGGTCTAGATACGGCCGAGGCGGTGAGGAAGTGGGGACGACAACGGAGGGACATGAGGGCCAAAAAGAGCGGGGATCCAGGTGGAAAAAGGGTCCCAGCGTTCTGGCGCACCTCGCTCTGCGAGCTGCTCCATCTTCACCAGTCGTTTTCCAATATGGCGGTCAGACAAACAAAACAAGCCGGTAAGGAACCAAACAGGAAATACGCATAGAGTAGAGCGGATGTAGATCTGACCAATCAGAGGCCTCCTGTCTGCGGTCAACTATAATTTTTTAGAGGTGCAGCAGAGTGACTGCGGAAGGGGGCGGGGCATATCTGCATTAACTGCGACGCATGCAGACGACCTGGTTTGTGAGCATAAACCAGCCTATAGGGCAGCTAGGTTAATACTGCGATCAAAGAAATCTTTTTATGCAGACCAGGCGCCTGCAGGCGCATCGCTGCTCCTGTGGGGGGCAGCGATGTTCCTGAGAGAAGCAGCTTTAACTGACGCTTCGTAATGCCGTTACGCTGCCGTGCGTGATGCATTAGTTAGGCTGTCGTCAGACATAAGTTCTGAATGTTTTAGGAGATTCTGGGATGTCGGGCATAAGCTGGCTAAATCGTCATGGTGTGAAAGGGCCCTAAAACTCTAACTCCCAGCATGCTTTAGGTTATCTTCTGACCTGATCTAACAGCTCTAACCAGCTCTCCCGCTTTGCTTCCTCCAAAACAGAAAGCTTCAGAAAAACTAAAAGAAGAAGAAAGAAGAAAACTGGCAGAGGTTCAGGCTGAGCTGGAAAAGCAGAAGCAGCTGGCCGAGGCGCAGGCGAAGTCCGTGGCCAAAGCAGAGCAGGAGGCCCAAGAGCTGAAGCTGAAGATGAAGGAGGAGGCGGACAGGAGGCAGGATGTGGCCGTGGACTCGGAGAAGCAGAAGCAGAACATCCAGCAGGAGCTGCAGCAGCTGAGGAGCCTCTCTGAGCAGGAGATCAAGTCCAAGAGTCAGCAGCTCAAGGAGGCGTTGGACAGTCGGACCAAGATCGAGGAGGAGATCCACATCATCCGGATCCAGCTGGAAACGACGATGAAGCAGAAAAGCACGGCCGAGTCCGAGTTACAGAACCTCCGAGACAAAGCGGCTGAGGCGGAGAAGCTCCGGAAAGCCGCTCAGGACGAGGCGGAGAGGCTCCGCAAGCAGGTCGCAGAGGAGACCCAGAGGAAGAAAAACGCTGAAGATGAGCTGAAGCGTAAAGCTGAAGCCGAGAAGGAAGCGGCCAAGCAGAAGCAGAAAGCTCTGGAAGAGCTGCAGAAGTTTAAAATGCAGGCCGAGGAAGCAGAGAGGCGCGTGAAGCAGGCCGAGGAGGAGAAGCTGAGGCAGATCAAGGTGGTGGAGGAGGTGGCGCAGCAGAGCGCCGCCACCCACTTGCAGTCCGAAGCCAGGTCGTACAGCCAAAAGACGACAGAACTGGAGAACTCTCTGAGGAAAGAGCAGGGCACCGTCCTGCAGCTGCAGGAGGAGGCGGAGCGGCTCAGGAGGCAGCAGGAGCAGGCAGAGAAAGCCAGAGAGCTGGCAGAGCAGGAGCTGGAAACATGGAGGCAGAAAGCCAACGAGGCCCTCCGCCTCAGGCTGCAGGCGGAGGAGGAGGCCCAGAAGAAGAGCCAGGCTCAGGAGGAGGCGGAGCGGCAGAAGGTCGAAGCCGAACAAGACGCCAAGAGGAGAACGAAGGCGGAGGAGGCGGCGCTGAAGCAGAAAGAAAACGCTGAAAAAGAGCTGGAGAAGCAGAGGCAGTTCGCAGAGCAGATAGCGCAGCAAAAACTCTCCGCCGAGCAGGAATGCATCCGGCTGAAGTCCGACTTCGACCACGCCGAACAGCAGAGGGCGCTGCTGGACAGTGAGCTCCAGCGTCTGAAGAACGAAGTGAGCGCTGCAGAAAACCAGCGCAAGCAGCTGGAAGAGGAGCTGGCCAAAGTCCGCAGTGAAATGGACGCCCTGCTGCAGATGAAGGTCAAAGCGGAGAAGGAGACGCTGTCCAAGTCGGAAAAGAGCAAGCAGCTCCTGGAGTCCGAAGCTCTGAAGATGAAACAGCTAGCCGAGGAGGCCGCACGGCTCAGAGCGGTCGTGGAAGAGGCAAAGAAGCAGAGGCAGATCGCAGAAGACGAGGCGGCGCAGCAGAGAGCGGAGGCCGAGAAGATCCTCAAGGAAAAGCTGGCCGCCATCAACGAGGCGACGCGATTGAAGACCGAGGCGGAGATCGCCCTGAAAGCCAAGGAGGCGGAGAACGAGAGACTGAAGCGCAAGGCGGAGGAGGAGGCGTATCAGAGGAAGCTCCTGGAGGACCAAGCTGCCCAGCACAAGCAGGAGATAGAGGAGAAGATCACCCAGCTGAAGGGCTCCTCTGACTCCGACATGGAGAGGCAGAAAACTGTGGTGGAGGAAACTCTGAGGCAGAAGAAGGTGGTGGAGGAGGAAATTCACATCATCAGGATCAACTTTGAGAAAGCATCGAAGGAGAAGTCCGACCTGGAGCTGGAGCTGAAGAAACTGAAGGAGGCGGCGGATCAGACGCAGCAGAGCAAACTAAAAGCTGAGGAGGAGGCGGAGAAACTGAAAAAACTGGCAGCAGAGGAGGAGAAGAAGAGAAAGGAAGCCGAGGAGAAGGTGAAGAGAATCGCTGCCGCAGAGGAAGAGGCGGCGCGGCAACGCAAAGCTGCTCAGGAGGAAGTGGAGCGACTCAAAAAGAAGGCGGAGGAAGCCAACAAGCAGAGGGACAACGCCGAGAAGGAGGCGGAGCGGCAGGCGGTACTGGCCAAGGAGGCGGCGCAGAAATGCGGCGCCGCCGAGCAGAAAGCTCAGAATGTTCTCAGCAAGAACAAGGAGGACCTTCTGGCTCAGGAGAAGCTCCGAGATGAATTTGAAAACGCAAAGAAGCTCGCTGAGGCTGCAGAGAAGGACAAAGAGAAGGCGGAGAAAGAGGCAGCGCTGCTTCGACAGAAAGCCGAGGAGGCCGAGAGGCAGAGAAAAGCTGCTGAGGACGAAGCCGCTAAACGAGCCGCCGCTCAACAGGAAGCAGAAAGACTGAGGAAGGAGGCAGAGGAAGAGGCATCGAGGCGAGCCGCCGCCGAGGCAGCGGCGCTGAAGCAGAAGCAGCAGGCGGACGCAGAGATGGCCAAACACAAGAAAGAGGCCGAAAAGGCACTGAAGCAGAAATCCCAGGTGGAGAAGGAACTTTCAGCCGTCAAGCTGCAGCTGGAGGAAACAGACAAGCAGAGAGAAGTGCTGGAGGCGGAGCTTCAGAGAGTCAAAGGAGAAGTCCATGATGCCGTCAAACAGAAAGCTCAGGTGGAGGAAGAGCTTTCCAAAGTAAAGAATCAGATGGATGAGCTCCTCAAAGTCAAACTCAAGATCGAGGAGCAAAACCGTCTCCTCATGCAGAAAGACAAGGACAGCACCCAGAAGTTACTCCAGGAGGAGGCCGAGAAGATGAAGAACCTGGCAGCAGAAGCAGCCCGGCTCTCTGTGGAGGCTGAGGAGGCGGCCAGGCAGAGACAGATGGCGGAGGCAGATTTGGCTGAGCAGAGAGCGCTAGCTGAGAAGATGCTGAAGGAGAAAATGCAGGCCATCCAGGAGGCAACGAGACTGAAGGCTGAAGCAGAGGAGCTCCAGAAACTCAAGGAGCAGGCTCAGGAGAAGGCACAACAACTGCAGCAGGACAAACGCCAGATCCAGCAGCGCCTTGAGAAGGACACAGAGGACTTCCAGAAATCTCTAGAGGTGGAGCGCACCAGGCACCGGGAAGCTTCTGCTGAGGCAGAGAAGCTGAAGCTCAGAGTCAAGGAGCTCAGCGAGGCTCGGTCCAAAGCCGAAGACGAGGCCAAGAAGTTCAAGAAGCAGGCAGAAGAAGCTAAAGGCCGTCTCCAGGACACAGAGATACAGGTGAAGGAAACCGTTGTGCAGAAACTGGAGACTCAGAGGCTGCAGAGCAGCAGGGAAGCTGATGATCTGAAAAAAGCCATAGCGGAGCTGGAGGAAGAGAAGAAGAAGCTGAGGAAAGAGGCCGAGGAGCTTCAGAGGAAGACTCAACAGGTACAGTCAACAGAAGGAACGACACAGTCCGGTTTAACCCTCACGTTAGAATGCTTTAGCGTATTTTATTTATGATCTTATTTTCATAATAGTTAAAAAGTAAATTTCATCTAGTAACCGATTTGGACTAACAAACAGACAGAATAGCAAATCTAAAAGCCTTTACCATCAGCCCATTTTTGGTTTCTCCCAATAGGAAAGCCGTGTCAGTTCCTCACTCAAAGCAGGACTAATGCTACGTTCACACCGAACGCCATCAAAGAAGCTTCTGTTGCTTTATTTCTTAGGCTTTTCCACATTAAGGTCAGACGTCCAGTAAAGTGAGTCCAGATGCTTCTGCTGCTCCTGTGTTCAATGCCAGAGAGCAGCTTTGCTATATTAGCTGTGATCAGCGGGTAAAAAGTAGTTAGAATCTATTTTTAAGTGAGAAATTCCTCCTGAAAACATTATGATCCTGCCTTTGAATATTATTTCGCTATCGGAGGAGCAGGAAACCCTGTACACCGGCGGAGTGCTGTCACTGGGAATCCCCAGCAGCAGCTGGCTCAGGCCCGCTCGCCTCCTGGGGGTTTTCCCCTCCTGTTGATGGCGACTGTTAGCTCTTTTGATGGACGTAATCCAAACTGCAGGCACCAAGAAATAAACGCGAACATATTCTGTCGGCAGGTTTCTACATTTGAAGTCAATTTAGGCGTTAAACTGTTTCAGAGGAGTGATCATAGCGCTCTGCATCAGCAGTGCTGCGTCTGACTCCCTGCCAGCTCCTAGATCAGCTTCTCTGATTGGTTGATGCGGCGCGTCCAGCAGCTAAAGGTCAATTTTTCCAACTCCATCCGTCTGTCCCGCACCTCAAACGCGCAGCAGGATCTTTTGTTGCTCCTTGATGCAGGTCAATTATGTAAACCTGCTGCTTCAATCGCGTGCGGAGTGAACGAAGCATTAGACCCTCAGGGTAGTACTCTGATTTTTTTTACATTGAGCCCTTATAGTAATTAGCTATGAAAGCTACTACTTTTTTAACCAATTTGTTAAATATTTGATCCCTCTCTTTCTGAAAGACGTGCCTATAACTAAGAGGTTATACCCCTTCTCTCCCACAGATGGCGACTGCCCAACAGGAGCAGATTGAGCAACAGAAGGTCCTACTTGAACAAACGTTCCTCTCTGAGAAGGAGCTGCTACTGAAAAGAGAAAAGGCTGTGGAAGAGGAGAAAACAAAGCTGGAGAAACAGTATGAGGAGGAAGTAAAGAAGGCAAAGGCGTTTAAAGATGAACAGGAGCGGCAGCTCACACTCATGGAGGAGGAGAGGAAGAAGCTGCAGGCCATAATGGACGAGGCGGTGAAGAAGCAGAAGGACGCTGAAGCTGAGGTGAAAAACAAAAAGAAGGAGATGGAGGAGCTTGAAAAGAAGAGACTGGAGCAAGAAAAACTCTTGGAAGAGGAGAACAAAAAGCTCAGAGAGAAACTGCAGAGTTTGGAGGTTGCTCCTAAAAAGGGTACGTCCAAAACAAAGGAAATAGAAGTTCAGACTGAACAAGTTCAGGAGGAACAGCTGGGAACCACCAGGAAAGTTCTCAATGGCTCAGTAGAAGTGGACGGGGTGAAAAAAGATGGCGGATCCCCATTTGCATTTGACGGAATGAGAGAGAAGGTTCCTGCAGAGAGACTTCTGGACATTGGTGTCCTGAGCAAGAAGGACATGGACAAACTGAAAAAAGGCAAAGTCACAGTGCAGGAGCTTATGAAGACCGACAAAGTCAGATCGTGTCTCAAAGGCCAGAGCTGCATCGGAGGCATCCTGACTCCATCCAAAGAAAAAACGAGCGTCTACAAAGCCATGACTGAGAACAAGATCACCCCGGAGGCTGCTGCAATGCTTCTGGAAGCTCAAGCAGCTTCAGGCTACATTGTTGATCCAGTGAAGAACAAACTTCTCTCCGTAGACGAGGCTGTTAAGGAGGAGTTAGTTGGACCTGAACTCCATGAACGTCTCCTTTCTGCTGAGCGAGCGGCCACTGGCTTCAGAGATCCATACACCGGAGCTCGAATCTCTGTGTTTGAGGCCATGAAGAAGGGCCTAATGGATAAAGAGCAGGCCACCAAATTCCTGGACGTGCAGCTTGCGACGGGTGGAATCGTGGATCCCATCAACAGTCACAGAGTCCCACTCCAGACGGCTTACAAGCAGGGGCAGTTTGATGCAGACATGAACAAGAAACTCACAGATCCCAGTGACGAGTCCAAGTTGTTCATTGATCCCAGCACTCAGGAGCCACTCACCTATAAACAGCTACTGGAGAAGTGTACCAAAGACCCAGAAACGGGCCTGCTGATTTTACCGGTTACAGAGCAAGCTGGTCAGAGAGAGAGAACATACACGGATATGGAGACCAAAGAGGTGTTCAGCAGCTCCAATGTCAACGTTCCATTTGGAAAGTTTAAAGGAAAAACTGTCACCATCTGGGAAGTGATCAATTCCGAGTATTTCACTGAGGAACAGAGAAGAGAGCTGATCCGGCAGTACAAGACTGGTAAGATCACCGTGGAGAAAGTCATCAAAATCGTCATCACTGTGGTTGAAGACAAGGAGAAGGAAAGCGGAAACGTCTTCAAGGGTTTGAGGGCTCCAGTGACCGCCAATGAGCTCCTGGAGTCTAAGATCATAAACAAAGACTTGTTCAACAAACTGAGCAATGGTAAGATCTCAGTCAAAGAGGTTTCTGAGATGGATGCTGTAAAGAAGGCCCTGCAGGGTACCCCCAGCATCGCAGGTCTCCTGAACGAACCTACTAAAGAGAAGATGCCTTTCTATCAAGCCTTGAAGAAAGAACTACTGTCCCCAGAGACAGCTGTGAATCTTCTGGAAGCTCAGGCAGCAACAGGATTTCTGATCGACCCTGTGAAAAACGAACGCATGCCTGTTGACCAAGCTGTTAAATCGGGTCTCGTTGGTCCAGAGCTGCATGAGCGTCTCCTGTCAGCAGAGCAAGCTGTCAGCGGCTACAGAGATCCCTACACGGGGAAAAAGGTGTCCCTTTTTGAAGCCATGAGCAAAGGCCTCGTAAAAAAAGACCAAGGAATCCGTCTGCTGGAAGCCCAAATTTCAACGGGCGGAGTTATAGATCCTGTTAAAAGCTGTCGCGTCCCCAATGAAGTCGCCTACAAAAGAGGATACTTTGATGAAGAAATCAACAAGACCTTGAACCAAAGCACAGATGAGACAAAACTGTTTTATGATCCCAACTCACAGCAGGAAACCACCTATGCACAACTCATGGATCAATGTGTCAGAGACAAAGAGACCGGACTGCCTTTACTTCCTCTTTCAAAGAAGGCTCCAAAGCCGAAAGAGGACAAACAAATAACTGAGGCCAAAACCAAAGAGGCTCTAAACGAGAAGACAATGGAGCTGGAATATGGACATTTCAAAGGAAGAAAAGTCACAGTTTGGGAGATCATAAACTCTGAATACATCACAGAGGAACAGAGAATAGAACTGATCCGACAGTATAGAATGGGACTGATAACAATCGAGAAGCTGATTAAGATTGTGATTACGACGGTTGATGAAAAAGAGGACAAACCAAAGGAAGAAGCTTGTTTTGAAGGCCTGAGAGAACGGGTCAGTGCCAGCTCACTTCTTGATTCCAACATTATTGACAAGGCCACATTTGAGCAACTTCAGCAGGGCAAAAAGGCCCCCAAAGACATCAGCCAAACTGATAAAGTCAGAAAGTACCTGCATGGCTCCGACCGCATCGATGGCATCACCATGGAAGACTCTGATGAGAAGCTGAGCATATATGAAGCAATGAAAAGGAAGGTCTTACAGCATAACACTGGACTGGAACTTCTTGAGGCCCAAGCTGGGACTGGTTTTATAACTGATCCAGTGAAAAATGAGAAATACTCTGTGGATGATGCTGTTAAGGCTGGAGTCGTTGGCCCCGAGCTTCACGAGAAACTTCTGTCTGCTGAAAAGGCAGTGACAGGATACAAAGATCCATACACTGGCAGTAAGATTTCCCTGTTCCAAGCCATGAAGAAAGCTCTGGTGTTGAGAGAGCACGCTATTCCTATTCTAGAAGCTCAGATGACAACTGGTGGAATCATTGATCCAGTCAGCAGCCATCGTGTTCCTGTTGACGTCGCCGTCCAGCGTGGCATCCTCAGTAAAGAAATGTTAAAATCATTCAACGAACCGACAGGTGACATTAAGGGCTTCACCAACCCGGGCACCAATGAAAGGGTAACCTACAAACAGCTGCTGGAGACATGCATTCGAGATCCCAACACAGGTCTGTGCTACCTGCCATTGCCAAAGGGTGAAGCTCCTGCAACGACTGAGAAGTCCTACGAGTACACAGAGGAGCAAACTCAAAAAGATCTAGCAAATACTCCTATTGAAATCCCACATCAGAGCTTTGCAGGAAGAACAATGACCATTTGGGACGTCATGAACTCAAACATGCTCCCTGAAAGCGAGAGACAGCGGCTGCTAGAACAGTATCGCTTGGGACAAATCACCAAGGAAAGGATGCTCATCATCATCATCGAAATCATCGAACAAAGAGAGACTCTGAAGCTGGAGCAGGGCATGTCATGTGATGTGATCAGGAGAAGAGTCACTATCGAGGAGCTGTACAGCGCTCGAATTATTGACCTTCACACATACAACCTCCTGAAGCAAGAGAAGATGAGTATCCGAGAGGTGATGGAGATGCCATCGGTCAAGCAGTACCTCTTTGGGACAGGTTGCATTGCAGGGATTTTATCAGACAGTCCTCCTAAAATCAGCATTTACCAGGCCATGAAGAATGGCAAAGTTAAGCTTGAAGTTGCTTTGAAACTTCTTGAGGCCCAGGCAGCAACGGGATTCATGATTGATCCAGTGAAAGACGAGCTCCTAACAGTTGATGAAGCTGTACGTAAGGGCCTTGTTGGCCCTGAGCTCCATGACAAACTCCTCTCAGCTGAGCGTGCGGTAACAGGATACAGGGATCCATACAGTGGGAAGGTGATTTCTCTCTTCCAGGCCATGAAAAAAGGCCTGGTTCCTGAAGATTATGCCTTAAGGCTTCTGGAGGCACAGAATGCCACTGGAGGTCTGATGGATCCTGAATACTACTTTCACCTTCCTGTAGATGTTGCAATGCAGCGCGGATACATTAATAAGGAAACGCTTGACCGGATAACCGAACCTACGGCGGATGTTAGAGGTTACATCGACCCAGCGACAGATGAGGAGCAGACCTATGCACAGCTGCTGAAGAGATGCAGGGTTGATAAAGAAAGTGGAATGCGGTTGCTGTCCCTGGCCGGCAGTCAGCTCTTCAAGGGTCTCAGAAGACAAATCACTGCAGACGAGCTCCTTCGTTCACAAATTATTGACCAAAAGACCTACAACGATCTCACTGATGGCCTCATCACAGTGGAGGAGATCAGCAGAGGACTGAAGAAGTACCTTGAGGGCACCAGCTGTATAGCAGGTGTGTATGTCGAGTCTACCAAAGATCGCCTTTCTATCTACCAAGCAATGAAAAAGAACATGATCCGGCCAGGAACAGCCTTTGAGCTGCTTGAGGCTCAAGCTGCAACAGGATACATCATCGACCCCATCAAGAACCTCAAACTGAATGTCACAGAAGCTGTTAAGTTGGGTGTCGTTGGCCCAGAATTTAAAGACAAACTCCTCTCAGCTGAACGAGCAGTCACAGGCTACAGAGACCCTTACTCTGGACAGATTGTCTCGCTTTTTCAGGCGATGAAAAAGGATCTCATCCTAAAAGACCATGGCATTCGGCTGCTTGAGGCCCAGATCGCCACCGGAGGCATTATCGATCCCCAGGGGAGTTACCGTTTGCCAGTGGAGACGGCATATGAGCGTGGCCTTTTTGACGAGGAAATGAATACGATCCTCACAGATCCCTCAGATGACACAAAGGGCTTCTTTGACCCAAACACAGAGGAAAACCTCACCTACCTGCAACTGATAGAGAGGTGTATGACGGATCCAGAAACCGGCTTTCGTCTGCTGCTGATGAAGGAGAAGAAACGTGAGAGGAAGACGTCGTCCAAGTCTTCGGTTCGTAAGCGAAGGGTTGTCATCGTTGATCCAGAGTCTGGCAAGGAGATGTCCGTTTATGAAGCATATCAGAAAGGTCTGATTGATCACCAGACCTACATAGAGCTCTCAGAGCAGGAGTGCGAATGGGAGGAGATAACGATAACTTCATCTGATGGAGTGGTAAAGTCCATGATCATCGACAGAAGGTCTGGACGGCAGTATGACATTGATGATGCAATCTCAAAAGGCCTGATAGATAAGTCTGCACTGGATCAGTACCGAGCAGGATCCCTGTCCATTACAGAGTTTGCAGACATGCTCTCTGGAAACATGAGTGGAAGCAGATCACGTTCCTCCTCCTTTGGCTCCTCCTCCTCCTATACCTCAAGCCCAGTACCTTCCATTAAAACACCAGCAACCACCTGGAATGACCCATCTGAGGAAACTGGACCTGTAGCTGGAATATTAGACACAGACACACTGGAAAAGGTTTCTGTCACCGAGGCCATTCACCGAAACCTGGTTGACAACATAACAGGTCAACGGTTACTGGAAGCTCAGGCCTGCACTGGTGGGATTATTGACCCAAACACAGGAGAGAAGTTCTCTGTAGCTGATGCGATGAATAAAGGACTTGTGGATAAAATCATGGTGGACCGCATCAGTTTAGCCCAGAAGGCGTACAATGGATTTGAGGATCCCAGAACCAAAACCAGAATGTCTGCTGCCCAAGCCCTGAAGAAAGGATGGCTTTACTACGAAGCCGGACAGCGGTTCCTTGAGGTCCAGTATCTTACTGGTGGGCTTATTGAGCCAGATGCCTCAGGCAGAGTCTCCATTGATGAGGCTATGAAGAAGGGCACCTTAGACACCCGCACAGCCCAGAAGTTAAGAGATGTCAGCGCATATTCAAAATACCTCACCTGCCCAAAAACCAAGCTCAAGATCTCCTACAAGGATGCCATGGAAAGAAGCATGATTGAGGAAGGAACCGGTCTGCGGCTGCTCGAAGCATCGTCTCAGTCCACCAAAGGCCTTTACAGCCCGTACAGCATCAGCGGTTCTGGCTCTGCTACCGGATCACGATCCGGTTCCAGAACCGGCTCCAGATCAGGCTCCAGGAGAGGCAGCTTTGATGCCACGGGATCCAGTTTCACAACGACCTTCTCGTCGTCCTCCTACGGTTCTCCGAGCTATAGCCGGCGCTACTGAGGACGGATGTGCTTTAAAATCACAACGCTCACCAGATGCCTACTTCCCTGTGGAATAATAACTTCTTTTATTTTGTTCTGCATGGGGTTGTTACAACACTTGCAATTTTTTTATTTTCTACCAGCTTATTTTTTTTTGGTTTATTGTATATTTGACTCCTCATTAGATTCATGATCTTGTACTGTAAGCAGTACAATTGTCTTGGTTTTGACTTTTTTTAATATTCATTTTAAGATACGTATTTAGTCTTCCACAAACATACAATCATTTCCCAAAACCTACTGTCGGACTGTTAACCCAACCAAATCGGATGTACAAACTAAGGTTTCTGTCCATGTGTATATTTCTGAAAAGTCAAGAGAAAACTCTTCTCTGCAGAGCAGAATATGGAGTCAATGGATAGTCTGCTTAAAGGATGCCAAGCTTCAATATCTTTCCTCTCCTGGGCTTCACTGCCATATTTACTCTGAAATGCATAAACTCAGCTTCATCACCAGGTTCTGAGCGCTGCAGTTAGAGCGACGTGTGCTCACAGTGCAACAGGCACCAAGCAAGGAACATCTGCCAGTTTGACTCGGATTGTCTAAATTCCTGCTTTTCCTGGAGGCACAGAGAGACGATTATAAAGAGAAACTTTGGATTTAGTTTGATATCCGATTTCGAGGATCGAGTGTGTTGAATATCTGTGTGCGCTACTCGGACTCGTCTATCCGGGAGCCAAACGAGTAAAAGAGGGATATGAAGCTAACTAGAGGGAAACGCGCTGCCTTGGTAATTTGTGCAGTTTTGTGCAGAACGCCCTAAAAAGAAAAGGCGACGACGTAGCTACTACGATAGGAACTACTCTGGTAGCTACTTCGGTCAGTCAGTTACAGAAAGAACTCTATGTAACTCGCGTTCCCACCATGCTTCTGTGTTTTTGTCTGAGAGGAAGAAGAAGAATCCTAGTTTGCGTTGTCACTACCCGATCCGTCCCGGGAGCACGATCCGTCCTGCGCAAACAGAATAACTTCTGGGTAGGCGAATACTTAGTTTTTCTTACTTTTTTATTATTTTGTCCTTTTCGTGCCGGAGGGCTACCCACCTCTCCCCATTTATATCACGGTCTAACTGTTACTTTGTTCACCTGAAACTGACCTTTTTTTAGTTTTGTTATCGATCAGGTAAAACTTCATTGGTCATTAGACACGCTAACGCTACAGATGCTCCAGACTCGGCATACCGACGCTGCCTGATGTTGTTATCGTTGTCTAGGCAACCACAATGTTTGACATCATGTGGCAACGTTCAGCCAATCACGTAGCGTAACGTCACTTGCAGGAAGCAGGAAGCAGGACCGGAGCAGATCTGGTAGCTACAGCGGCTTTAAAACGCCACATCGCTGAAACACCAGCGCTGCTCTGCTGCTCGGTTCGGTCGCGTTGCTCTAAAAATCTGCAGAAGACTCTTTGAGCTTTGGTTGTTCAGAGAAGCATCCAACTGATGCATGACTGAAAGCTCAGCTTAAAAACAGCTTCCAGCCATAAAAACCCTGCTGGTTACAGACGTCAGGCCTTCTTTAGCCCAGGTTAACGTCACTCATCCAGAGTTTTAATCCATAAACTTCGTATTCAGACTGTAGGGATGATAAATGAACAGCAGGAAAAGCCATAAGTTAACATTTTTTGAGGAAGATCTTTAAGCTTTGCAGCACATCCAGTATTTGTATTCGACACTAAATGTACTTATTTCATGTTAAATCTTCTTTGTAAAGCAGCCCATTGATCTATATCTCATTTTATTTTCATATTCTATATTTCTGCTTCGCATGATTTACTAACATATAATAGAAGCAGCAGGTATTATATCCTTCCAAGCTTATTTTTTGCTGTTTCTAGAGGCTTGAAGGATTGTATCTTAGTGAGGGTTCATCAAGCCTTGTTTGGTGTATTTATAAAAATAAAAATGGGTTGTGGAAGTTTGTTGTTACACCTTAAGCCTGTAAATAAACACAGAAACTAAAAAGAAAAAAGTGTCTTTTTGTTTTTATTACTTTTTATTATCAGCTGTCGTTATCAGATCAAGATGAATGCCTGCTATAAAACAAAACGTGTTTTTTATAAATGAAATATACTCAGAAAATAAAACAAAACACATAATCATCAACATTTTTTTT